AAAAAACTCTGCAACTAGCGCATCTTTGAGTTGGTCAATAACATTTAATTCAAATAACAGTAAAAAAATTGGAAATAAACCCTTTTCGAACTTGTGTTGCCTCAAAGCCATAGATTATCCTCTAATTAATCAGTAACAGCTCGTGCAAATACAAGAGGTCTTCGCGTGTAGAAAAAAAAATGAAAAACGTTTTAAATTGTTTGAGTTTTATCCAAATTTATGCATACTTTACACTCGATYGAGGCTAACAGTGTAAACTCAATTATTGTCTTAAATAAATGCCTTATCGAAGCGAATCTACATAGCCCGGATCTCTCGAAATATAAAACGTCAATTACATCTTAGCTTACTAAAAATCCAGTTGTTCTAAGATTTGGAATTAATAAAACTCAATAATGGAAACTTTAAAGTGTTTGARTCACGTGCCCACGTCTTCAAAACGAATTGTTATTCTCAATTCGCCATTAGAACCGAAATTGATTTAAACAAAAAGACCGTTTATGCACGCATTGTCAAATTTATAAAGACTTAAGTTTGTGTTCATTAATACACCTAACCAGAAATTGAACATACTTTGTTTATCAAAAGTCATAATATGATGCCTAATTTAAATGTTGTAAGAAGTAGAATTTGAAAACAACAACTAAGAAATGTCTTTTGAGAGCCCAAGCTACCCCTATACAGTAAAATTGCCTTCGATTTCTTTACTTTTTATTTTGAATTGAATTAAAACTAACTCAATAATCTACTTCTTAAATCATTTGTTATATACTTGTATTATTCAAAAGATTGTTCTTAAAATCCCCTTACCCTCTAAATGGTGGTCGCCATCAAATGGTCAACTTTGTTTGGAAGTTTTTCAACACTGTGAATGTCTCCGTCACGATTTCTTGTATGGATTATTGAAAATAAATTCGCCTCTTACCTGAATTATTCAAAGTCTAGAACTTGGAATATATTAACATCACGAAAAGGACCTGCCAAAACAAGGCTAGCTAATTGCCTTCCACAAAATTCACGACCAGAGCAGCTCTTTTATCSAACTTAATTAGAGATATCAATAAAGAGAGCTATGTTATTTAAGATTAGAAGTTTTCYCTACATGGTGAAATTATCTTTTCTTAATATTCTTTTATCCGCGCTAGATTTTTTCCTGTTTTGACGGGGAAAAATAATTACATTTGCAAACAACATTGTAATTTTGTYCCACTGAATATTGGCCTTTTTGGCATTTTGAACAATATCTAGAGACAGCTAGCTGGTTTAAGTCACTGATTCATATCAGATAGGCCTACTTTGTGATATTGTCGATGTTATATCTTAAGACCAACRGATTCAAAAATTCCGCTCCCTTTTATATATATATTTTTTTTCAGAGAATGCCTTTTAAAATTTGAACGGAATTTTATTTTTAATCACCGCTTGTAAACGTTATTTTTTTCAGGGGCGAGTTTGCGTTAATCCAATATCATCAGTGGCTGTTTTYTCTCCCAGCAAGCTYTCAATATTTTGTGCCTTTGGCGGGTCAAATTCATGAAGTGTCTAATTTATAGTGTTGTAAAGTCAGACAGATAAATTTAAAAATCTCAAGATGTCATTAYTGCTATCATAAATCTAATGATAAAGTTCTTAAGATTAACTTTCGGCTTTGCGAATTTTATGGCGATAATCTTCAAAATTCTKCGTTTTGGCAGTGTTTTGATTTATCGGGCTTTCGAATTCTCGACAACCTYTTGAAAGGCTGAAACACGTTAATAATCCACTTTCGAATTCCCAATGCTCTGTGTTAGCCTCATTTGTGCGCTAAATATCAGTCCTAATTTTGAGAATTAAAGTGTGAGATTTCCATGCGTTTTCTCGGGCTATCAATGAAACAAAAGAATATGTTACTTGGTTTTGAGGCTAACACAGAGCAAACCAGAACTTTAGATCGGAGTATTCTAACATGTTCCGAATCAGGAGAAATGCCACTAAATYCATTTTGTTGAATTGCTGATTATAAGCGAATCAGTGAATCGAATTTTCGGTACGTGAAACTCGGCGTTTAAGGGCCTAAATTTCATCACCAAAATGGAACTCGCTGTATGCTGAGGKAAAAACAAAAGGAATCATTCTAATTAGGAAAAAGCAGTCTTGATATATTAATTAGTAGAAAAAGCWAAAATTTCAGTCAATTTATTTACAATATTATCTTGTCCTTCTAAATAATTTGATTTGAGAGTGTAGAATTATTCAGTTTCCGCGTTAGACAAATACTCCTGTCATTATTAAAACTGAATACTTAATTGTCACCTTGGCCAACGAAAAATGAGTTAGTACCAGGCTTTTCGAAATACTCTTCCGACCTCCGTCCCTAAACGAATGATCAACAATCAACAAATTATATGCTTATTGCACCATTGTTTTCCATTTTTCGCTAATCATTTTTAGTCCAGTTGAACGTCGCATATTTCTTCAAGCAAAATTTTGCTCAAATTTCATTTTATAGGGTCTTATAGCGAAGCTTTCAAGAGCTTTTCAAAGGGAAAATGCTTAGTTTTAAAAGATATTACAAGTTTAAAAACCACGTTTTTTTATGAACATTCAAAGTATCCGCTGTTAAGTCAAGAATTGAAAGTATTCAAAGCTGTAATTTTAGACATTTAGTACGGCAGWAAAAAAGAACTTTGAAGAACAGAAACTTTCACACGGTACAAAAATTGAGTTCTGCKTTTAAAGAAGGCCTTGCTTAAAAAATGTTTTCAAATTAAACAGTCTAAATGAACGTATAGAAAGAATAAAGTGAACTTATAGAAAAAAATTTTCTATGTCAAAACCAAAATCAAGAGGCAGAGCCGAAAGGTCTGGCCGATGTGTATGTTGGTGAACAGCTAAAAGCTGTAACCAAARAGCAGGGCCGTAGCCAGAGTGAACGTATAACCGACGCGAGGCAGGCGACCGCCTAAGGCGGGATGAACTAGGAAATTCAGTCTCAGTCAGAAATGCGATTTGCAGCGTTTTGTGGGCCTTTTGGTAACACTTTATTGAACAGATTTAACCGGAATTTATCATTCAATATTTATGAAACTAAGAAGCTATACGTACAAGATTAATATTATTTTAGTATCATACGAAATCCGTTCTAAGATGCTAAGATGATATCAGTGATGAAAAACAAAAAGCATCGGCAAAATTTTACCTAGGCGAGAGCCTCGGTTGGCCTCAGTACTAGCTACAGCCCTTAAAAAGGTATACTTTAGCGACCAACTTTAAGAATATGTCGATACCWATGAATAAATCAAGGTCTTGTTTTTATGTTTGTCTATGCAATAATTTCTGTTTCAGGCTTTATAATGTTATAAATTAAATTCCGTCGGACGGGAGTGCGTAACCACGAAACTCAGAATMATACGTCTTTCCTTGTAATTCACCTATTGTAATAACTATGAATAAATTGTGATAAGAAATAGTGATAAAGCTTCTACATGCTAGAGGATATTATACATGGGCRCAAGGAGATACGGATTTTATCTTTGAGTGTTGAAAGGTCGATCTCTCAAAATTTTAAAAAGAACTGAGCGTAGCTCAACATGAGAAGATAAAATTCGTATCTCCAAGCGACCATGTAATATTCCGATTTTTCATATAATTATATATGAAAGCAAATTATGTCGTAAAATATTGTTTTTTTACTTCCAATATATAGAGAAACCTCGAATGCATTATCATGTATTATTTTCACTAGTAAAAAAAAGAGAGAAATATCGGTATTTCATAGATAATTATATGACAAATATACATTATCGTTRAACGCGACAATGTTTTTCAATTTCGTGTTTTCTAGTAATTGAARACAGCTAGTTAGCACCTAATTAGGGTTAACTTAAACTATACACTATGATAGAATCAGTCAAAACTTCAATTTAGACAACCATCGCGTTAAAGTGCRTCAGCCTCTTCGGTCAAACACAGAGAGTTTTTAGTAGGGCTTCGAGATCTTTCCAACAGWACTCTCGAAAAAAGGCCCTTAAACGTTAATGCATGTCATCCGTCTTTACTCCCACGCTGKGAATGTGCAAATTGTTCRTGATCTGTCTCAACGSGTGGATCCGAGTTTGACTGGATGTTATTTTGGAAGTGCATGCTTGRAATGTTACGAAAACGCTAGAGTTGAGAACAGGMAATAAATTCGTCTCTGACAACTAAAGATTGAGCGCTTCCCACAAACGCGTTACTCATGGAAAAGACTGAATAATAATACTCAGGGAAAAAAATAATACGTTTTTTAAATGTTTGTGTTATATCATATAAAACATTTTTACTTTCGTTGTAAATGTGTATAATAAACACTGAGGTTTCGCAATATGAACTCTAATGTTTTTCGAAAGAAATTTGAATTTGGCTGATCATTTTTCAAAGMATTCAAACACTCAGCTTGAGTTGAAGGAGGTTTGAAGAACGTGCTACGGAAACAAGGAAACAAGAGAYAAAAGGACACACTAGTCGACTCCAGAGAGGCGTGTAAGAACAYTCAAGTGCAACGGTAGCGAGTAATAATGTTGAAATTAAAAATGACATAATAGGATGAAGTTGCCGAGTAATGTTTCGCAGATWTAAATATCATGACAGTGTCTTCTATACACGAACGGTGAGCCACTATTTCTAATCCGATAGCTAATTAAGGGTTTTAAAAAACCGAGGGCATTATGATTTACTCTGCGGTTTCATCTTCGATTTTAAATACCAAGCTCGGCAAGGAATTGGTATACAGGGTTAATATTCGTAGATAATTCATAGAAATGTAATCTAAAAATCTGTGTCTCTATTTCTGAAATAATAGGCCAATTTTATTATTTAAATTGCCATTTATTTTGAATAAATACATAAACCACTTTCTACGATTGCGGAGATCCGAACGATAACCACGGTMGCCGCTCTTGTCTGCGGCGAAATCTTATGAAAAAAAWTTTTCATTAATATTACTGAACAAACACRGATACTTTTTCAACGATGTTTATTGACATTCTGTAGTCCTGATTGACATTCCTTCTGGATGTTGTTTTATTTTACATAAAGCTAACAGCAGCTGGTATAAACGATAGTGACGCTTATGCAAAACGAAGTTGGAACAACATTTTCATCGTGGCACACTTGAGAAAAGCTTTTTATATTAAAAAACGTTACGACTCGGACCAAAAATGGGCTTCGCTGTGGCTTTGCATAAGCTTGGAGTTATTTTGTTTGCAATGTGGGTTTGTTTTGGCCGTCAAAACTTCACAGCATCGAAGAGTTTGATAAAACATGGTGATGTTAATCTTCAAGGACTKTTTCCCATTACATATCGCGATGGAGAGGTTTGCCAAGGTCTTAACAAAGAAGGAGTGCTTTGGGCAATGGCGATGAAATTCGCAGTCGATTCAATTAACAATTCAACTCAGCTTCCAAATGTAACACTCGGTTATAAAATCGACAACACTTGTCATCATATACCAACATCAATGCACAATGCGATTGAAATCGTCGCTAAATACCGTCCAAATTCGGTGTGCTACCCACAAGATCTTTACTGCCAAGAGGGTTCAAATGGAGTGGAAAAGATCTCGGCTGTTATTGGTCCGGCATTGTCGYGGATTGCCATTCCAATCGCTAGTCTWCTCGGGTTGTATGAAATACCACAAATCAGCTACGCGGCGACTAGTCGTATTTTAAGTGACAAAACAAGATATAACTCATTTCTACGGACGGTTCCGTCGGACGAGCACCAGGCCAAAGCCATGGCAGAGTTCGTTCATAAATTTGGCTGGAATTACGTCTTTCTCATAGCATCAGATGATGATTATGGCAAGATGGGTGCTGCAAAGTTTAAAAACACAGCAAAGAGTTCGAACGTATGCATTGCGAATGATGAATACATTCCCTTCACATCCRACATGTTGGATGATTACATACGGAACACGTTGAACACCTTGAAATCCTCTTCGAGGGCGAAGGTCGTCATTGTCTTTACCTATGCMAACCAAGGAGAACTTTTGCTCAAAGAAGCCTCTAGAATGAACATAACCGATCGAACWTGGATTGCAAGCGACGGTTGGAGCTCGGTGACTGAGTTCAAACTCCCTAAGAGCTTACTGGAAGGGATAATAACTTTTTCCATTCGCTCCAAGAAGGTGGACGCGTTTGTTGACTATATAAATGAGTTGCAGATTAAAGACGCAAAAAAMATCCCTTGGTTTTTAAAATACATGGAAAACGTACTGAACTGCGTTTACGGAAATGATACACAAGGTACAAAGAGGAAGTGCCTTCCAAATGAGACGCTATCCGCAAATCATACGTTTTCTGACGAAGGGATCGCAAATGTGATTGATTCCGTMAACGCAACCGCAAACGCTCTTGCARCCATCCTAGGTTGTGGGAAAGGAAACATTTGTAGRAATAAAAACAATGATATCAAACCACTGGAGCTATTGGAGATAATAAAAAATTCCAGCTTTCTAGGGGTGGAYAATACRAAGGTAGAGTTCAATAAAGATGGCGACCGTTCCTCAAGTGGGTATACGATTAGAAATGTCCAGGTACAAAATGGTAAACTTGTTTATGTTGATGTGGGCCACTGGTCAGAAGTTCAAAAAAAGACTTTTTTTCAGGTCAATACGTCGTTGATCAAGTGGAATAATGGAATTAGACCTCAATCCAATTGCTTTCGACTTTGCCAGCCTGGAGAACGTATAGTAGGTCAGACAGAGTGCTGTTGGAACTGCCAGAAGTGCGAGAAGGGAACATTTAGCTCTATTCAAGGTGCGTCGACATGCAMAAAATGTAATGAAACTCATTATACAAACTCGGAGARAACAATCTGTCTTGCTCGTGTGGTGGTCTACATGTCCTTACACGACCCTGCGGGGATTTCGATTTTATCAATTAGTATTCTTGGTATCGTCATAACTTCAGCTATCGCCGGAATCTTCKTACGACATCGTGGCACCCCAATCATCGCGTCGTCAAGTTTGTTCCATCWTGTAACATTCTTCTTGACATTGTACGTCTCCTTTTTCTATGCGATGTCCWTCGCTGTCAACAAACCTTCCAACTCCACGTGCATCGTMATCGAGTCGATTCTAGAACTCATGATCATGCTTTAYTCWTCCTTTCTCTTGTCAAAAACTCGAATCGTRAACAAAGCAACTCTGTCAGCGCTTAAACAAGTGAAAGCCATGCGCCAAGAATGGAGTCACGTGATTGTGATAGTCTCTTTAATGGTGTTGCAGTTGATACTGATTATCGTGCGTCAGTGTGTTACGCCKTCTCACATTCAYTACGTTAATCAAGATAAAACACGATTACTGGAATGCGAACCGATCTTCTCTTCACTACGCGTGCTCACCATCACTGTCCCTTCTTGCATACTCATGATATCGACGTTCATATCGTTCCGAGAGCGGGATATCCCGGACAACTTCAACGAGGCAAAGTTCATTAGCTTCACGACCATTCTGTTGTGCATAATCTTCATTTCTTTCATTTCTACGTAYAGATACGTAAGTGGAATAAGTCGCATTCTGGTCTTGACATTCACGACGTTTGTCGCTGCGTTTTCAGCAATGGGTTGCATATGTATACCAAAGTTATACATAATTTACATGCATCCAGAGCGGAATATCAACAGCGAACAATCGTCCATTGACAGCACCGCGTCAGAACAGCCAATCCCGTCAGCACGGACATCGGTATCAGAMGGACCGTCACCTGACTTGAACTCAAACATGAAGTCTGCAGCCAGACCCGACGARCTCAATTTCTCTGGYGTCAACAGTACGTATTTGACGTCATTCCTGAACTATGCCGTAGAACCTGGGGACGARTCAACCGAAAATGAAACTGTAAATCAAGTCAAAGATTCAGCCAATCACGCCAAAAAGAAAGATTCCGGCGATAATGCGGARAGCAACCGACAAAAATACGTCCGAAAGAAGTCGGCCGGACGGAAGTTAGAACCAAACAATCAGCATGTCGAAGGAAAACAAGTAACCAATGAGGTCCAAGAAAAGCAACCAACAAATGGAAGGAAGAAATCCAGAAACCACGTGACTTTTGAGTTGTCAACTTTACCGGAAATAGTAGAGGATAGTAAATACCCGGATGTTGACGAGCAAAATACGAACTTAGGGTGCACTGATGACGATTTAG